ACTTTCAGAAGTTTGAATTCTGAATATGAGCAAACTTCTCTTTAAAACCCTGTTAGCCCTTTGAGATAAAGATTAAAGCAGTAGAAATAAGATGCATTCTTAAAAAGTGAATTTCTCCACTGTGAGTCAATAAAGTCTATCTTATCTTAACAACTGATTTTAAACCCAGATTGGATAATAATCCAATAATGAAGGACCTGATTAATCGGAGCTAACATGGTGCGTAAATAACTTTCCAACATAATCTGTGTGTAAAAACAGCAGATTAAAACTCCAGAACTCGGAAACATCTTTGAAAATTAAGATTTTTTTCATCATAATGTTCTTTAGTTCATTGATGAAAACCTGCACACTCTAGTGAGAGGCCTGACCCCCTGTGGACCAGTCATCGTCTCACCACAGAGAAAAAACTCACACACCTGATATTAGGACTTTATACTGACTGTTATTTATTCAGTTTCTCCATTAATGCCAAACCTGAACCTAAAGTTAAACTCACATCAAACCTCTGAACCAGTGCTGTCCAAAGTGCAGCCCAGCGGCCCCACTGGCCATTTCAGAATAATGATCTGACTTAAAGTCAGCAATGCAGACCAAACACGGTATGGCCCATGAACTCCCATGAACCCTTAAGCACCCTGCAGAGGGAGGAGAGCCGGTCCAGTGTTTCATGGCCAGGACAAAAACATCACTGCTCCTCCTGAATCCAATGATCTGAAAAAATAGAGAACTTAAACCTTCCCACACAGCCTATATAATAAATGGAAGAGTCCAATTAATTCTCATTGAGGAGATTCTTTGCAGCGGGGACGCTTCACTGGCCCAGCAGAGCCTCCCAGGAACTGACAACTCAAGAGAAATGTATTAGTTTAAAATAAACCATACCAGCAAAATGAGTCAACCAAATGTGTGCACCCAAATAGTTAATAATGCCAGATTACATGAGTTAAAAAAAAGAAAAAAAGAATCAAATAAAATATGGTAAATGAATGTAAAGTGATACATCTAAATAAGAAGAATTACCAGACCATTTAATGCTGG